CGTGAGCTGAGATCGTGCCACTGCACTCCAGCCTGGGCAACAGAGCAAGACTCCATCTCGGGGGAAAAAAAAAAAAGAGTAGTGCTAGTGATAAGCTCTACAAAACAGACTACAGCAGAGTTAGGGGGAGTATATGTGTGGATAACTATTTTAGAAAGGGAGGCCAGTGAAGTCTTGTGGGAGGTAGTGGCCCTTAAGTAGAGAGTTAAGTGGAGTGAGGAAGACAGGGCAAAGGCATCTCAGCACAGGGACTTGGACCAGCAGCAGGGAAGGCCATGTGGCTAGGGTCATACATGCATAAGAAGGGCCAATCAGGTTGGGCTTTTGCAGATCATGGTAAAGATTTTTATTTTGAATAATGTGTGTGCTCCTTTTTACCAGCCATGAATGCTATCCATTTGTTTATGTGATTAACTCATCAAAGTTTATAAAAGTTATTTATTACTCTTTAAGGAAGAGAGGTGTTTATTTTGAGAATCGTGGGAAGTCACTGCAGGGTTTTTAAGCAAGGGAATGAACGATATGACCTGCTCTTTAAAAGCATCACTGTAGCGCAGTAGAGCAGTGAGAATAGAAACAGGAAAGCAATTAGGGTGTTACTGTAGCGTTCTTTTTCCTTTTTCTTTTCTTTTGAGACAGAGTCTCACCCTGTCCCCCAGGCTAAAATGCAGTGGCACGATCTCGACTCATTGCGACCTCTGCCTCCCGGGTCTAGCAATTCTCCTGCCTCAGCCTCCCAAGTAGCTGTTATTACAGGCACCTGCCACCTTGCCCATCTAATTTTTGTATTTTTAGTAGAGATGAGATTTCACCATCTTGGTCAGCCTGGTCTCAAACTCCTGACCTCAGGTGATCCACGGACCTCAGCCTCCCAAAGTACTGGGATTACAGGCTGTGCCTGGCCCTCTTTTTCTTTTTTTTTTTTTTTGCTTTTAATATTGATGTCAGTATTTCTTTTTTTTTTTTTTTTAATTTTTATTTATTTATTTATTTATTTTTTTTTAGGGAAAAAGAGAAAAAGAAGGGGAAAAAAAGAAAAAGAGGGAAAAAGGAATATTACTTCATTCCTAAAATGGGTTTCAATAATGGCCGATCAATATTTTGAGTGTTTAAAGTGGTTAATGCATATTTTATGTGTTTAAAATGGAGACCTCTGTTGTGTTTATTTGTTCTGGTTCTGAGTTCAAGTCCTGGATATCTTATCAATTTGTTGTCTCGTTGAATCTAAATCTCATTATGTGTCTTATGTATCTGGGTGTTAAGATCTCTTATTGTTGTATTAATCCTTTTACCCTTGCATCCTTGTAGCTTTGAAATCTATTTTATTAAGTGTGAGAATTGCAACTCCTGCTTTTTATTTATTTATTTTTGCTCTCCATTTGGTTGGTGAGCTTTTTTCCATCCCCTTGTTTTGAGTCTTTGTATATCTTTAGATATATCGTTAGATTTTGTGGATAATGAATATTTTGTGTGTTTAAAATGGAGAGCCCTATTGAGTTTATTTGTTCTGGATCTTAGTTCCAGTCCCGGATATTGTTATCAATTTTCTGTCTCGTTGAATCTAAATCTCATTATGGGTCTTATGTATCTGGGTGTTAAGATCTCTTATTATTACATTAATCCTTTTATCCTTGTATCCTTGTAGCTTTGAAATCTATTTTGTCAAATGTGAAAATTGCAACTCCTGCTTATTTATTTATTTTTGCTCTCCATTTGGTTGGTACGTTTTTTTTTTTTCCAACCCTTTATTTTGAGTCTATGTATATCTTTGGATATACCGTTAGATTTTGTCTGTATCTTTTGATTGGGAGGTTTGGTCGATTTAAATTTAGGGTTGCTGCCGTTTGATATTAACTGGCTATTTTGTCCTTTCATTGATAAAAATTCTTCTTTATGTTAATGCTCTTTACTTTTTGGTGTATTTTTAGAAAGGGTCATACTGGTTGTTCCTTTCTGTGTATAGTGCTTCTTTTAGAAGTTCTTGTAAAGCAGGCCTGGTGGTAATAAAATCTCTGAGTACTTGCTTGTTCCTAAAAATTTTTATTTTTCCTTCAAATGTAAAGCTTAAATTGGCAGGATATGAAATTCTGGGCTGAAAGTTCTGTTGATTAAGTATATTGAATATTGGCCCCCACTCTCTTCTAGCTTGTAGGGTTTCCGTTGAGAGATCTGCTGTAAGCCTAATAGGCTTACCTTTATGGGTAACTTGATCTTTCTCTCTGGCTGCCCTTAATATTTTCTCCTTCGTTTCGATCTTGGTGAATCTGACGATTATGTGCCTTGGGGTTGGTCTTCTTGAGGAATATCTTTGTGGTGTTCTCTGTATTGCCTGGGGTTGAATAGTGTCCTGCTTTGCTAAATTAGGAAAATTTTCCTGGATAATGTCCTGGAGAGTATTTTCCAGCTTGAATTCATTCTCTCCGTCACATTCAGGTACACCAATCAAGCGTATATTAGGTCTTTTCACATAGTCCCATATTGCTTGGAGACTTTGCTCATTCCTTTTTATCCTTTTTTCTCTATTCTTGTCTTGTTGTGTTGTTTCATTAAGTTGATCTTCGACCTCTGATACCCTTTCTTCTGCTTGATCCATTCGGCTGTTTAAGCTTGTACATGTTTCACTAAGTTCTCGTGTTGTATTTTTCAACTCCATAAGTTCATTTGTATTCCTCTCTATATTGTCTATTCTTTTCAACATTTCATCTAATCTTTTTTCCAAGTTCTTAGTTTCTTTACATTGGGTTAGAACAAGTTCCTTTAACTCCCAGAAGTTTCTTATCATCCACCTTTTAAAGCCTACTTCAGATATTGGAACACAATCCTTTTCCATCAGGGCTTGTTCCGTTACTGATGAGTCCTTTTCCATCAGGGCTTATTCTGCTGCTGATGAGTCCTTTTCCATCAGGGCTTGTTCTGTTGCTGATGGGTTCTGATTTTGAGTATACTCGGCCTTCTTAGGCTGTTTTTTTCCCTTCATTGTAGATGAACCGCCTTTCTAATTAGTTTTCTGAGTCGACGTCCGACTTATTGATTCCCAGTGTTGGGATCCGAGCAACCCACTGTGGCAGCCTAAATAGCAGCGGTAAGACTGATGGTGCTCTTCTGCCCAGGAATCTCTGGTCTGGCTTCCTTCTTGAGTCCGCAACAAGCGGCTCTGACTTCCCAGAGCTCCAAACTCCGGTCAGTAGGGGAAGCAGTCCCGTTGGCTCTGCATGAAGAGCTGCTGCGCCGAGACGCCGGCAAAACCACTGCGGCGGCCACAAGAGTCGTGCTAGCGACCCGTGGGGCTCCTCCACTGGGAATCGGCTGATCGGTGAGTGACGAAAATTTGTCTAAAAGTGTGGCGTCGTCTCGTTCTCTGGGCTTTCACTGGGAGCTACAATCCTGAGCTGTTAGTGGTCGGCCATCTTGGATTGATCTCCCGGCCCTCTTTTTCTTAAGACTTTTAGTTAATTTTTGAAAACTATTTATCTCTAAAAATTGGGGTAAAATATATATGACATAAATGTTACCATTTTAACTGTTTTTTTTTTAAAGTGTACAGTTCAGTGGCATGAAATACATTTACAGTATTTTACAACCATCACCAACATCCATCTCCAGAACTTGTTTCATCTTACAAAACAGTTTTCTTTAAACACCACCTCACTATTTCCCTCTGCTAAAAGATAAACTGCAGCACACTAAGATTTTAAAGACTTTATTGGCGCAGACAGCAATTTATTAATTGGGTAGTGCCAAGGAGTCAAGATGAAGCCTTTTATGGGGTGAATGCAGAAGCAAGCTGAAGAATATTTGATTGGTTAAAGAGCAGTGTGGGGGAGTATTGGCAATATTAAGTCTTCCAATCCATGAATATAGGATGTCTCTCTATTTATTCATGTATTCTTTGTTTTGTTTCATTTGTATATCTTTAATTTCTTTCAGCAATGTTTTGTGCTTTTCAGCATACAGTCTTTCACTTTCTTAGGTGAATTTCTAAGTTTATCTTTAAAGATATTTTTAATTTAAAAAAATTATAACTTTTAATTGGCCAGTAATAATTGCACATATTTATGGGGTACAGTGTGATATTTTGATATATGTATACAATATATAATTAGGGTATTTAGCATATTCACCACCTTAAACATTTGGCATTTATTTTTGAAAATATTCACAGTTTGCTTATCTAGCTATTTGAAAATGTACAATAAATTGTTGTTTATTGCAGTCACCCTACAGTGCTGTAGAACACTACAACTTATTCCTCTTATCTAGATGTCCATCGATCAACTTTTGTGTCTGTTAATCAAACTCTGTTTATCTCTCCCTGCCTCCTCCCATTCCCAGCCTCTGGTAACCACTATTCTACTCTCTACTTCTGTAAGGTCGACTATTTTATCTTCCATTTATGAGTGAGAATATGCAGTATTTATCTTTCTGTTCCTGGCTTATTTCACTTAACATAATGTCTTCCAAGCTCATCCATGTTGCCACAGATGACAGAATTTAGTTCTTTTTAAATCAATAAATAGTATTCAATCAGGAATATATGACGCAATTTTCATCCATCTTTCTGTTGATGAACATTCAGGGTGATCCCATATCTTGGCTATTGTGAATAGTGCTACAATAAACATGAGAGTGCAGAGATCTCAACAAGATCCAGTAATTCTACTACTGAGGATATATCCAAAGTATGCTATTCGTTTTGATGCTATTGTAAACACAATAGTTTCCTTACTTTCTTTTTTTGGCTTATTATTAGTGATACAAATGCAGCTCATTTTTGTGTATTGATTTCCTATCCTGCAACTTCGCTCAATTTGCTTATTAGTTCTATTGGTTTTTTTGTATGTGCATGTGTGGAATCTATAGGTTTTGCTACATATAAGATTTTATCATTTGCAAACAGAGATCACTTTACTTATTTATTTCTGATTTGGATCTCTTTAATTTATTATTTTATTTTATTTTTTTGAGACAGAGTCTTGCTCTGTCACCAGGCTGAGAGTCTTGCTCTGTCACCAGGCTGTAGTGCAATAGTGCGATCTTGGCTCATAGCAACCTCCGCTTCCCTAGTTCAAGTGATTCTCCTGCCTCAGACTCCCAAATAGCTGAAACTACAGGTGCACGCCACCATGCCCAGCTAATTTTTGTATTTTTAGCAGAGACGGGGTTTCGCCATTTTGGCCAGGATGGTCTCAATCTCTTGACATTGTGATCCGCCCGTCTCGGCCTCCCAAAGTGCCAGGATTAAAGGCGTGAGCCACCACACCCTGCGTTGTTTTTCTTGCCTAATATTAATGAAGCTTTCTACCCAATAAATGAGGATTTGAACAGTGATGGGGAGGTGCGTAATGGTTGGATTTGGGACATATTTTATGGGCAGAACAAATGAAATTTGTTAGCTCACAGGTGGGCAGTGGAAGAAAGAGAAGTTAGAAGAGACTTCTAGGTTTATGGACAGATTGACTAGCTAAATTACTGTGGTACCATTTGCTTAGTTGGGGTAGATGGGGAGATGCAGGACTGAGGGGGAAAAGAAAAGCTCTATCTGGGCCACACTAAATTTGGCCATGATTGTGGATCAGATAGATAAAAGCAAGAGAAGAAGGAGGGAAGAAGTCAGAACACAGACCTCTGGGGAAAGCTCACATGTAGAAAAGAGATGGAAGAGGAGGCATCAGAAAGAGACGCAAAGACGAGCAACATGAGGGGTAGAAAAAGAACAAGGAACGTAACAGAAATGAAAAAGTTTCAGGAAAGTGGCAATGGTCAACTATGCAAACAAGAGGGGAAGGAAGGTGAGGACTGAGAAAGGATCTTTTATGTGAACAATGAGGAGGAGGTTATTGGTGACCTCTGACAGAACATTTTCAGCGGAGTGGATAAGGTCTCTGCCTGAAAGCAAGTGAGTTGAAAATGCAAGTGAGTGAGGGAAGTGCTTTAAACAAGTCTAGAGTGCTGTGTGAGGCAATGTGGCTATTACCGTTGCCACAGCAACAGAAACCATTTAGGAGAACTAAAAGCTACTGAAAACCCCTGACTCTAACCCATCATATCCGCTTGATCTCTTGTGAAAGATAATGATAAAAACCAGTCATTAGAGGGGCAGGGCAATTTTAAGTTTCTTCTTTTTAGACATAGCCCCTAATGAAATCCTCCCCCTTCTTGAGAAGGGAACTTGCACTGACATCTACACTGGCTTCTAAAAAGCACAGATGACCTGCTATACTTCCTGACTTTCTTGCTATTGGTTGGCACCATTCATAAACATACTTTGCTGTTTTACTTTTCTTTGAAATGAGCAAGCTGAATTATGTGGAGGAGAAAGGCAGGAGAGATAGAGGCAGCAGAAGCCAGGGCGGCTGAAACACAGAGACCTTCAGGTGGGCATTTTAATCTTTGTTTTGTTAATTCATTGTTGAGAATCAAGCCTTGATGATCACTTAATAATCAGAGGAGTAATTTTTGAAAAGTAAATTTGTTTTGTTCTACTATAAATGTTATTTTCCTATCATGTACATGGTAGTTTAAAAAATACTGTAGAAGTACAAAAATGTTGAAGGAAGCAAAATTCTCCACCAAGATAAATTCTAAAATTCTCCACCAAAATTCTCCACCTCTATTGATATTTTGGGGGTTTTCCCTTTGTGTGTGTGTATGCACATAAAACTTTAATAGGCAAGTTTATATTCATTTCCTCTATTTCAGTCTATGATTTTTACATGTTGCTGTGAATTCTTTGTAATCATAAATTAAAGCTGTGACATAATGTTGCATCGAGGAACTTTACTATACTTCCTCCATTTTTGGCTATATACATTTTTCATAGTTTCGGTCCTTTTATTATATAAGATATACTTTTTCATTCAGGGTCTTGTTTTAGGGGTAGAAGTTAAATTTGAGGACATATATTTCAATGGATTTGCTTAGAGCCACAATGAGAGTGAAAGAATGTGTGAGATCATGAGTGTATAATCTTTTCCTTACCCCACTGGGACCATAATCAGTGTTTCTCAACTCTGGCTGCACATTTAGCCAGAATCACCAGACTCTGAGGAGATTAGAAAATTACCCCTAGAATAATTGAAGCTTAACTTTTGGAGATCAGCCAGTCATCTGCAGTATTTTGTCTTGTTTTCCAGAAACTTCTCAGGTGGGTCTAATGAGTGGTCAGAATAAAAACAGATGACCTAGGTCATTCAAAATATTTTTCTGTCTCTGACATATACCTGAGAGTAATGTGTATCAGGAGAAAGGGAGTTATAATTTTAGGCAAGCCAACTAAATCTCCCTCTCAACATGACATAAATAGTGCAAATTATAAAATGATTTGTGGGAAACATAAGACTTCTAGAGATTTCTATTATCTACCTCAGCCACATAAACTGTTGAGATGAGAATCTACTTGAGTTTCAATTTACTAATGTTTTAAAGAGGTGGATTTGTTTCCAGTGTTTCGGTGGTTGCAAGTTAGAGAAGTTAAGGCTGTAGTATGTTCTAAATGTGTCTGAATCATGCCCATATCTGCTAGAATCTGCCAAGGCAACCAGGCTTTTTTTCTTTTGCAAACTCCTTTTTTTTTTGAGACAGAGTTTTGCTCTTGTTGCCTAGGCTGGAGTGCAATGGCACAATCTTGGCTCACCGAAACCTCCGCCTCCTGGGTTCAAGTGATTCTCCTGCCTCAGACTCCCGAGTAACTGGGATTACAGGCATGTGCCACGATGCCCAGCTAATTTTTTGCGTTTTTAGTAGAGACGGGGTTACTCCATGTTGGCCAGGCTAGTCTCAAACTCCTGACCTCAGGTGATCCAACCGCCTCAGCCTCCCAAAATGCTGGGATTACAGGCATGAGCCACCACGCCTGGCACTTTTTCAAACTCTTTAAGATTAAACGCAAGGTGGGCATTTAATGGCTGGCCAGTCACACTGCGGGCATAGTGAAGATCAATGGGATTGGATTTGGAGGCAGGAGGTGGCTCACTCTGGCTTTTAGGAGCCCCATAGACGTGGCACTTACCTTTTCTGGACCCCACGTCCTCAGGAGGAAAGTGGACAGAGTTTATTCCCGGGCTGTATTATGGTTTCTCTCATTGGGGGCTGAAAACAGCCAGAACAGCTAAACTACATTGAAGCATTTGCTGTTCCACTCCTAGCCTACTGCAGGCCAGAATCATCCCAACTTGATCAACAGTGTGTTAATTAAACTTCTTCTTATTTTGACTCAGTGGAAAACACCTGCTTAGTACCTTCTTTAATGAATGTAAACATTCACACAGTACTGTTTACAAAACACAAATCAGTGCCTGCATCAGTTCATTTGATCTATTTATATGCATCAGTTCATTTGACCCACATACTAGCCGTAAGAACTGGAGGGTGTGATTCTTATTTTAAAGATGATAAAGATGAGACCCAGAGAACATAGGATCTTTCCCAGGTGGAACGAGAACTGGTCAAATCTGGTTGAGCCCAGGGCACACAGTCTCTTTTTTTTTTTTTTTTTTTTTTGAGACAAGAGTCTCACTCCATCACCAGGCTCCAGGCTGGAGTGCAGTGGCGCTACCTTTGCTCACTGCAACTTCCGCCTCCCAGGTTCAAGTAATTCTCCTGCCTCAGCCTCCCAAGTAGCTGGGACTATAGGCACGCACCACCACGCCCAGCTAATTTTTTTGTATTTTTAGTAGAGACAGGGTTTCACCATGTTGGCCAGGATGGTCTCGATCTCTTGACCTCGTGATCCGCCTGCCTCGGCATCCCAAAGTGCTGGGATTACAGGCATGAGCCACCATGCCTGGCCTTTCTTACAACTTAAATAATAGCTACTGTGCAAAATTGGTTAAACAAATTTCGTAGTGTTTATATAATTGGATACTCTGTAGCCAGTCAGATCATGACATTGATGTTATTAGTTGCCAAAGAAAGGTGATCATGACACAGAAATAAGAAAACAGCAAGGTACAAAACAACACTCATTTTGTTTAAAAATATTTTTATATATTTCAAGAAAAAAAGCATATATGCAAAATTTTAGATATGTCTGGTTGGTGATAAACTTTGCAATTTCAGTTTATTTCAGTTTGTATTACATTGCAATTTTTTTTTTTTACCATAAACATGTACTACTTGTGTAATAAAAATAAATAGAATTGTTCATACCTTTCTGATTGGCTCTTCTCCAGATGAAATAGTCCCAACCCCTTTCACTTGGCCACAAAGAAGGCTCCTATTTAATTCTCTGAGTTTTGTATATTATTGTCACAAATAAGTAAAAGGCTGATTAAAAGGCATAATTGAAACTTAAACCCAACCCAGGACCCTTTTAACTCAAAAGCACATGCTTTCATTCATTATATCACCCTGCCTCCCATCTGCCTGGGATCACACAAACAACCCCCGTTTTGGAGGAAAGATGTTATATTTTTTCAGTGTACTCATTGTGTATGTGAGTACATGAGGATTAACTTGGGCCTTGTTAGCATTTCCTGTGTGCTCCAGAATCAAGGACTCTTTCTGCTTTTCTATAGTTTGCTCTGTGCACCAGACATCTGAGGCACTCTAGTTCCCCAAGGGTAAGCCTTTAAGATAAAAGCCTCACAAGGGTCAATGGTCTTGGCATGAGAGCAGAAGGCAGCCACAGAAGGTACCTAAATGGTGCATATTAACATCATTTCATAGTAAAAGACCATGGGAGTTCTTTCCCCACGGAAGATTTAATTGTGAGGCATAAAATGACGGCTTTGGAAAGCAGCTTCATTCGCTCATTTATTGATCATTTATCTGAGCACATTCATTTGCCTCACGCTGTGCTGGGGTAAAGCAGCAGACACGTGCTTGCCTTCCATGGGCAAACAGTCTGGTGGGTAGGGATAGAAAGGAAGCAACTGCTGCCCCTGGGGTAAGTGCTGGACAGGAAGCCCATGGGGCTGCAGCCAGCCATGACCTGGAGGGGTCAGAAAAGTCTTTTTCTGGAGGAAGTGATGTTTAGAAACCTGAGACTGGATAAGCAATAGCCAGGAGATGAGCTGGAGCTCAGAAGAAATGGGCAAGAGAGAGCCTGCTGTGTTGGGAGCCTTGAAATAAGCTTCATGAGACTGAGTATCGTTTACCGAGGGGATGGAGGGGAGAAAATATGGTGGATAACAAGATCTATACTGTGAAAAGCCTGGTGATGAACTTGATTCTGAGATGATAATGGATTTTAAGTGGAAGAGTAATATGGTTGGATATGCATTTTGGAAAGGTCACTCTGGTCACTCTATGAAGATTTGAATTGAGAACAGCCAGAGTGGAGATAGGGAGCAACTGAGGAGGCTGTGCCCAGTGTCCAGGTGAAAGATGACAGCCTATACTAGGTCTGTCTTTAACCAACCCCTGAGATGAAAGGAGGGAGTTGGTGGAGTCTGCTGGGTGAATGAGCCAGGTCTGCCACAGAGGAAACACTGGGCAGCAGGATGAGCAGGGGAGGAGGAGAGCCCATGGTTTACTTTTGCTCCTGGCCCTCTCTTCTTTAGGTTTCAGATACCCACTGCCCCCATGCCACTGGCAGATGGAGTGGCAACAGGAATGACAATGCATGGGGTGCCAGGCACAGTGCAGCTGCGTCCCTGGCTGTCACCTGTGCTACCTCCTGGGGTCCTCTCGATTACTCCAAGAGGTTGAGAACTTGCTGATGATCACACAGTTTGCACAAGGAAGAGCTAGGATTCAGATTCAGTTGGGATTTATCCTTTGTAAATAATTTCTTTTCTCTAATAAGTGAATTTATTTATTTATTTTTGAGACAGAGTTTCGCTGTTGTTACCCAGACTGGAGTGCAATGGCAAGATCTCGGCTCACCGCAACCTCCACCTCCTGGGTTCAAGCAATTCTCCTGCCTCAGCCTCCTGAGTAGCTGGGACTACAGGCACGCACCACCATGCCCAGCTAATTTTTGTATTTTCAGTAGAGACAGGGTTTCACCTTGTTGACCAGGATGGTCTCAATCTCTTGACCTTATGATCCACCCGCCTCAGCCTCCCAAAGTGCTGGGATTATAGGTGTGAACCATCGCGCCTGGCCAGAAGTGAATTTAAAAGTAGAATGCTGTCTAGAAGAAATGAGAAAGAGAGGGAGTTTTAATTTGAATAAATGGGCTTGTGTGGAGCCCCTGAGTCATGTCATTTAGTTGCCTGGATTATGGATAGGGAAGACCCTGATGTTGACTACTCCATAAGGATTTACTAGAATAAGTAAGACAATGTCTCTATGATACCACTTACTGTTCTTCTCTCTTGGAAATCAGAAGACTTGAAAATCAGAGACTCAGAAGACTCAAATACAGAACAATTCCGTGATTCTGTGGTCTTCCTTAAATCAGACATTTGGTTAATAACAGATACCGCCA